ATCGCATGTTCCATGTAGCTGTAGAATTGAGAAATAAGTCATAAATGAGGGGCTGTTGTTCCTGGTTCCTCCTTCCCCCTGTTGCTGTCTGTCTGACATCTCTTTCCTTTGGGGGTATCTGAGGGTGGTGGTTTGTGTCATCTCCCCGCTGCCTGCCCTTCTTTGACCCTCAGAATACCCTTAAAATGCTTTCTGAGGGGCTGGGATGTAGCTCAACAGTACAGTACATGCTTAGCTTGTAAGGCCCTGGGTTCACTCTCCAGCACTGCCCCCAAAATAAAATACCTGTTTGACATGGCTAGATTTCCCTGTTTTCCTGTCAGGATAATACCTGGATTTGCTTGGTCTTGTTTGGTGCCGACACTCCTTGGTATGGTTCAGTTCACTCTGGTGCCTTCTTACCAAGGTAACTGCATGTGGGGAAAGTTGTCAGGCTTTAAAATGGATGGAGTGTGGTGTGCTGAATGCCAGAAGAGGTGGTGGTGTTCATTCTTAGCTGGTTTGTCTGTCCTTGGCATGTTTCAGGACAGTGGCACATCACGTAAACTCAGTGGGTTATATTTTTGTGTTGAGTATTGTCTACTTAAGAATATCTATTTCAGGGTTCATATTTATTTGTGCAGAAGATGCTTTAGGACCTCATCTTAATCCTGCTGGAATGCAGTCCCCGCATGTCTCTAACTGAACGACTCCAGTGTGCATGCGCTCCCTGTCTGGTGGCAGAAGGCACCTGTAGGGGTTGGTGATGTGACCACCGGCCTCACCACAGTGCCACAAACAGAACCAGTGACCTTTCAGCCACTTGTGTTAGGACCTTAGGTTGTTAGGCATGCGCAGACGCAGGGCTGGACGTTTACTCCAGCTCTCTACAGGCCGGGTCTCAGGAGAGAAGAGCAGGTGGTATCACCGTCTGAGAAGGACAGTAAGGTGCCAGAAAGGGGAGTGGGTGGGTGAGGGGGCGAGGCCCGTAACAGGGACAGGAGGGGATTCTACTGGTCAATGTCTGCTTCATGGTTTTTATTGGAACTGATGCAAACTGTAATGAAGTTACATTATGTATTGAATAAAAAAGATTGGAATTTCATTCAGTCTTCCTTGAAATTTGCATTTGTATTGAAGAATTAAGATTTTTGTTAAAAGTAAGAGTGGAAAGGAGAGCTAAATGATTCTCCTTCACCCGAGTCCCCCATGAGAAAACTGTCGAACCCATGTCAGCCTAACACAAGTCAGTTTTCCCTTCTGATTTGGCTCTGGGTCACTGTCAGGGAGTGGCTCCTCCTGACTGGAGAAGTAGCGTTCTGAGGCTGTGGGCAGGGCCACATCTGCAGATGCTGTGATGGCCTTTGATAAGACTCCCGCCCCAGCCAAGATCCCATCTCTTACATGGCCTCACTGTTGATCCTGAAGATTCCTGAGGTCAGCTAAGAGACACAGGCCTTTCCGAGAGTCCCAGGAGAGCTATAGACCCTCTGTTCAGAAAAACACCCATGTGACTTTTGCATAAAATTTCAAGAATGGTGATGGATATCTTAAGGCCTGTCCATGGGGCCTGGGTCAAGAATTCTTGCTATGGGCACTGCTGGGGCACCAGTGAAGGTCCCTCATCCCCAGCCAGCCCATTAAATCTTTTCTTGTCCGTCAGATTTTCACTTGTTTTTCCTCACTTTGGCTAATAGGCATGAGTCACTTGATATTTGTAGCACCATATGCCCCGAGGTGCTTGTGTGGTAGAAATATTGAGTCATAATTTTTGTTTTTATTAAAAATCTCATTTTTTTCAAAGGCTGCTTCCTTTTAAAACATAATTTAATTCTATTTCATCTTCAAGTTTGTGTACATTTTTGTGGCTGGGCTAGCTCATTTGCAAAGATCTCTGGGAAAGGGGAGATCTGTACATTCTTCTTAAGTCCTATAAATCTGCTCAGTGTTATGAAACCACTTCTGACATCCATTTTTCTTCTGAGGTGGAGAAGCATCATTCTGCCCTCTTCTATCACCTGCAGTTTGTTTTTATTGCTTTATAGGTGAAAATCGTAGATTGGAAGGGTGTGGGTGAACGTTGGCACCCGGGGGAAAGCAGGGTGTTTTAAGAGGGGGAGGGCCATGGTGTGATGAGCACATATTATGCCTGATTGTCTTGAGCAGCCCTTAGATCAAGTGACAGTGACAGTCTCTTTGGCTCTCATGTCAGAATAGCAGAATAAACAAGTCCTTGACCCTGCAAGGGGAGAAGGTACCTTTCAACCTCCATCACGCAGCTCTTCTCCTGGTAGTGCTGCTGACGGTGGGTGCTGTGTGGATGCCGATCTGTTTGCGTTGCCAGCTGACCTGCTGAGTGTGGCGCCTTCTCTCCTTGTATCCGCAGATGGACGCACATGGAGCGTGGTCTGCCCTTTCTGCAGAGGGACTGAGTTGCTCGTTACCAATCAGATAAATGAAAGGAGCCTTAAAAAAAAGTCCCTGATTATTCACTTGAGATTGGGTAGAAAGGAATTATTCACAAACTATTATACTGACAAAAAAAAAAGGGAAGGAAAGTTCTCAGAAGCTGCCTGAAAGAGAAAATAGTGAGCGCCAGGTCCTTGTTTATGTTTGAGGCGAGGTTTGCTAAGGACCTGTGCCAGTGAGGGAGGTGTCTGCTGGCCTTCCCGTGGCCATCCTTCCCTTGGCGGCTATCAGTGACCTGAGAGCTCTGACCGCAGTCATCCAGATGAGTCAGCTCTGGACCCTGTGTAGCCGCTTAAATTCTCTCTGCGGCAGTGAGAGTCTTTGAATCGTCCTGCCCACGGGACAGGTGGGGTCAGTGGGAACTGGGAGGAGTAAGCGAAGTTTGTGTTCGCGTTCATGAGCATCCATCATGGGGCAGAAGACTTAGGGGCTCCTGGCCCGGCTGGGTGTAATTTTCGATTAAGGAAGACAGGAAGAGATGTGGGCCTCTATAAACATGTCACACTGAATGTGGCAGTAAATGGAAAAGATGAAGATCTTCCCCATGCATTTACTTCTGGGGGAAAGGGAAGAACGATTCCTTCCTAAAGCACGTTGCAGCCACATTTGAGCTATCAGTTTGCAATCAGTATTTTGTGAGAACAGCTACTCTAAGCAGGAATAACTGTGTTTTAAACGGAACTACCTCCTTTGCCAAGGTGTTTAGGGCACTGAGATCCACCTTTTGCCCTCAGTGGATGGTGGTGGTTTGACTTTATTCTTTTCCATTGTTGTTTTTTCTTCCCACTTCCCCAGGTGGCTGTGGGGGGACCGAGCTCTACTCATACAAATGACTGCCTGAGGCCACCACAAGGGAGTGGCAAGGTGCATGTTCAGTGGCATTTGATTGGCAGTGCGGGCTCACAGGGAGCTGAGACACTACCTGCTTAACACTGACCTGGAGTCCAGAGGAGGGAGAAGGAGCAGCCAGCAGGGCAGGCGGACAGAAGGATGGCTCTGCGCACCCTGGCCCGCACCATTCGGGTTCAGCATTGCCTTGCTGGTGGCAGCCACTGTAGCACAGCCCAAGGAGTATCAGCAAAGCGGGGCAGCTTCAGGCTCCTGACGGTGGTGCTGGGTTCCTGCCCCTGTTTTGCCAGCTCCCCTGTGTAGAATCAGGGCCTCCCAGATTTCATCTGGGCAGTCTTTCCTGGGATAGAATGGGTAAGAATTTCCCAATTTTTCAGTATGTTCCAGTAGAGTAACTTGCCAGGATATGCTATAGTAGACAGGAGGAGGCTAGAAAACCAGGCATGTGATGGAAGGAAACTCAAACTCAAGCTATGGGTGCTTTGCTGAGGCCTTCCCAACCATCTCTCCACATTTGGGGTTATTTAGAGATGAAGGGTAACCTGGAATGTGTCTATAGAAAGTTCTGTTTAAACTCAAATTTTAAGAATGCCTGTAGCAGACAGGAAGAAGCACGATGGCTCCCTCTTTGGAGTGTCAGTAAGGAACAGTGAGCATCTGTGCGTTGTGCGGGACAGTCACGTCATCTTGACCGCTGAGCGAATCTTTGTATGCATATGTCAGTGGCTTTGGATGGAAGACGGTTCTGTTTGAGGAGATTAATGAATCATCAGTTTTTGCATGGACACTTAGGCATGTCTTTATTTTTTTATAATGAATACGTTTGAACTGCTGTGTTCCTGTATTTTATACCTGACCCGTCATAGGTAATTGGAAAGAAGTCTGTAGTGTTCTGAAGAGTGTGTTGCTTACGGATGAGCAGCTGTATCGTAAGAACATAGGTAAATGTGAAGCAGTGGGATGGGGTGACTTCTTCCAGCAGAATTCCCAGCACAGCTTTGCATTGTGCCCAGAATCCTTGACACTTGGGTATCGGAAACTTACATGTTCAGTAATCCCTGTAGCCCATTTCATTAGCTTTCCTCGTCTCTGTGTAATTTGAAAAGTTGCATCCGGTAATTGAACTCATAAACTTGCACTGAGGAAAGCAGAGTATGTGGCCAGCATAGACCTCTGTATCATTATAAATTTCCACACGCTTCTCCTTAGGTTTTCTTTTTAGTCTTTTCCCTCAATCAATGACAATTCTAAGATTTCTCACACTTGATAATATTGTTCCTAATTGGTTTGGGTAGAAATAATTTTAGTAAAATTTTCTATAAGGTAATTTTAGTCCCAGGAGAGAATCCAACTTTTAATTATGAACAAAAAATTTTACATTAGATCTAGATTCCATTAGATTAGTGTCACGGGCTGGGGCAAGATGGGGGGCAGTTATACCCTTCTCACATAGTTGGTTTCTTATAGAGCGGGACGTCTTCGGTCAGGGACAGTCTTCTGGCAGGCGACTCACTGACAGGAGCGAAGAGTGCGGCAGGGGGTGTGCAGTGGCCAGAGTGCAGAGCCTGCCCCGCAGAAGGCCAGCGGGACGACTTATAGGGAAATCCTCCTGGGGCAGAGCTGGGCCCCGCATGAGTTCCTTTGCTGTGTTCCTGACTTCTAACAGATCAGCTGGTGATATTTAATGATGATTTTCATTTTAGCCAAACTCAGGCCCTGAACTGGTTTTGTCCGAAGATGAGAAAACTGACAATGAAGATAAAGAAGAGACAGAATTGGGCGTCATGGAGGATCAGCGTAGCATAATTCTTCATCTCATCTCACAGCTCAAACTTGGAATGGATTTGACCAAGGTAGGCTGGCGTGGAACACGCGATGTGTGACCAGTTGTCTCGGTTCCGTCTCTGTCTTGAGCCGTCCCTTTTCCAGGGTGAGTTGGGGCAAAGGCCGGCATTGGGTGTCCAGTGTGGGTACTCCGGTGTAATTGGGAAGGAAATAGACACACGCACGTGTTGAGATGAGGTCTCACTGTGTTACCCAGGCTGCCCTCAAAGTTCAGGGCTCATGCAGTGCTCCTGCCTCAGCCTCCTGAGTGCTGGGCTGTGGGCACACGCCTCCACACCCTCCACAAGGGACGTTTTTACATGAACGCGCACCCTCAGAGTGGAGAGCCTTGCATGTGGCTCCCAGTGAGCATCAGAAAAAGCTTGGGAGGTGGTAAGGAGCATCCAGTTGTACGATGTCTCCTGCATGTTCTAGGGAAGGTTCAAGGTGACCTGTCAGAGCTGTGGCTCCGCGGCTGCACAGAGAAATGGAGAGGCTGGAACCAGGCTCCTGGGCATTCCCAGCTTCAAGGCTGTGGCTGGCTGTCATGAGCTTTCACGAGATAGGGTGGCCTTGGGTTACTCAGTCTCGTTGGTCATGTGGGAAGAAAGAGCCCTCTGGAGGGTCACCTGGCAGCACTGGGTGCAGACAGCTTCTTCCTTCCCTCCAGCATTCTTGTCACGAGGAGGGTTCACGTTCCTCCTCCTGACCTCGGGAGCAGCCTTGTGCTGGAGGCCAGTGGGACACTGTGGTGTCACCTGGGGCACTAAGAGGCAGCGGAAAGAGCCTGAATTCTGTAGGATGGCCTACCTGGTTGGACTAGAGCCAGGTACTTCCTTCCTGGTGCCTCCCTGGGAGGGTGAGGTGAAGGTCAAGGTGGTGTACCTAGGACCCAGCAGCGCCGAGTGCCTGGGGTCTCGTCGTCCTCATCTCCCGGGCGCCGCAGTGTATGGTATGGCTGTGTGGCGTGGTAGCTGAGCAGCAGCAGGAGGAAAGGCAGGAGAGGGTGTGCTAGGGTCGGAAGCTCTAGATTCTGGGCAGCCCGAAGAACGTGGCTGTGCCTGACGGGGCAGAACCACGCAGCCTGGGGATCAGCCTGAGCGCATTGCTGCATTCGGCTGCCATGAGGAGTCCGGGTTCCATGAGTTCTCCTCAGACTGCACTGGAGACCAGAGGATGACAGAGAAGAGGCTCGAGTGGAGGAAGGTGACCGGCCACTTTGAGCACCTGTGGGGGTACAGGGGAGGCAAATCTTCCTTTGAAATTTTTTCTTTGGAGGCGTGGTACTAAGGGATTGAGCTCAGGGCTTTTGCAATGAGCTATATCCCTAGCCCCACCTTTTTTTATATTTTTATTTTGAGACAGGCTCTTGCTAAGTTGCTATTGTCCACACTGGGATTGAATTTACAGTCCTCCTGCCTCAGCCTCACAGTATATGGTGTGTGTGTCCGGCCTGTGGATGTTTCTACAGGCTTGAATGTGAGAATGTCTGGCATCTTAGAAGACTGCCTGACTTGAACAAAATAGTGGGCCTCATGGAGGACGCCAGGGAAACAGCTCTCTACTTGTCCCTTCCCCTGACGGTTGTTCCGGCCTTTGTACCACGCAGGGAGACCTGCCCTCTGCTCTGCCGCCTACCCTAAAACAGTCTCCTAGCTGTGCAGACACCATCACTTTTCTGCTGGAGAAAGCTTGGCTTTTACAGATGTGCCTATCTTTTACTCTCATGGATTGTGCAGACACTGAGATGGCAACTGAGTTAATTCTGATGGAGTGCAAGCGGGGAAGGGCACAGATGTGATCTAAAATCAGTTTCCAAGCCATGGGTCACAGCCCATTAGAGCCCTGTGAAACCAATGTCGTGGGTCGCCTATCCTCTCTAAAGGACGAAGTGCAATGGAAAAGCTCGGTGTGCTCTGTACATAAAACATTCATTTTAGTTCCATTGACTCATATGCACTGGGTACAATGTAAGACATATTCATTGTGGGTCATATTTTTAAAAGTGAATGTAAGATATGGAGCTAGAATCCGGGGTGATAGAGTGGAAAGATCGTAAGAGAGGAAATGGCCCAGGTGAGAGATGGAGAAACAATCAGATGCAGAGGGGACTGTAATCATGACAGAGCTGAGTGTCTGAGACACTTTATACCACAGCTGTTGTGCTTTAAAATAAAGAAACCCTTGTAAGTGTACACCTTCTGTTTATTAGTATTATTTTATTAGGCAGTAATTGCTTTGCATTTCCAAAGCCACGGCCTTGGTTCTAAAAAAGCAAACGTGGCATTTATTCAATACTCAGTTGAGTACCTGAAAGAAAAACGTCTCCAGTCTATAGTTTATCAGCTTGGTCCTTTGCTGGGAAAGAAGCTGTATTCACAAACCTGGGGGAAACTTGAGAAGCTGAATACCTGTGAGAGGAAGAGGTGAATCTTCCGTGGTCCAGTCCCGCGGGGCTTCTGGCTTTCATTGTGCTGCGTTACAAAGGTGGAGGACGTCCTCTCCTGCTGTCTCCTCTCCTCTCCCTGGTTCTTGCCCAAGTCATTCAGCGAAGCAGTGCTAAAGTGGCAGTGGAAGAACTGACCTGGATGGAGGGTGTTCTGTGGAGACCACGTACCCTGGAGGTGGGACATTCTTCAACTCAGGATGAGGCTGTGGTCTCCTTACATAAAACAAGTGTCTTGCCCAGTGCTGACACAACCTCCGACTGTCACTGCCTGACTGACATGTTCTACCATCTTGCCTTAGTTAACTGTGGCTACCGGAGAGGGCAGCTATATGGACGAGTGACCTGTAGGGCTGCCAGCAACCCACATGTTGGAGGGCTCCATGCTTGGCTTAAGCTTCGCTGTCATTTCTTGACCCTCTGAATAGTTTGAGCCAGGGGACTTACATTTTCATTTTTGAGCCAGGGGTCTCTACAAAGCATGAGGTGAGTCCTGGCTCCAGAAGCATCTGTTCCCCTTCTTTCCTCTACTGTGGCCCTGTACCCTAACTTCCTCTGACCCCTCCTCTGGCCAACCTGCCAGATCTCCATAAACTCTGGGTGTTCCAGAAAAGAGGTGAGTGCCTGAAGGTGCCACAGTGAGGCAGAAGGTCACAAAGGGCTCTAAGGGGCCCAGGTAGGTTGTACCTGAAGTGGTGGGCGTGGGCAGGGGGAGGGGCCTCCCTGGTGGAGGGGACTGTGTGGCACAGGTGGAAGTGGGAATGTGGCAGCAGGAGCGTGGTGGTGCTGAACGTTAGGGGTAGGGGAGGCGGGGCCTGCAGAGCCGCTGGGAGGAGGAGAAGAGCCCCTGATGCGTGGGCCATGGGAGGGAGGCCTTTGGGCAGTTGGAGCAGGTGAGAAGGGCGATGTGGTGTCCTGGGCAGTGCTGGGGCAGCTGCTGTGCAGTGAGAAAGGCTGTGGAGCCCTGTGCTGAGCTGGGGGTTAGAGCCGCACACCTCGTTTCTGGGAGGGAGACGAAAGGCAGTAATTAGCAGTGAATGAGTTCATTCATCTGATGTCATTTATTGAACGCTGAAGTTTAGACACCAGCAAATCGTCAGAATCTGTATCCTGATCGTGCTCGTGCAGTGGTGGAGACAGACAAACTAGGAGGGAAGGGTGGATGGAGAACAACAGAGCAAAGGGAGATGGCAGGTACGATGGAGAGAAATGCAGCACAGTGAGAGGGCGGCCGGGAAGGCACTGGGGGGACATAGCCTCTCAAACTGGTCGGAGGAGGCTTCTTTGTTAGTGTTTGGGCAGAGACCAGACTAAAATGAGGGAGTCAGCAGTGTGTGTCTAGGGAAGAGTGTCAGGCCAGAGAGGACGCTGGGTGAAAAAGGCCCAAGGAGTGGGCCAGAGTGAGCTTGGTGGGGTCGGCAGAAGGTTGGGTTGACAGTGCAGCTGCTTGGAACCATTTGAGGGAATGAGTGTAGGGTCGGGCCACGGACTCTGCACTGGTATTGCGGGAAGTGAGACTACATCGGCACAGTGCACGGTGCAGGGCCCTGGGCTGTGGGTCTCTGCAGGACCGGGGCCGGAGTGAGCTGCGTGCAGGAGTGATGGGTGGAAGGAAGGTGCTTGATGTGGAGATTATGGAGGAGGGCAGTTATAGGAAGCGACAAGGTCACTGCACCTGTTTGTAGCCCGCATGGATTTGTCAGACGTTTCATGGTGTTAGAGATTCTGGGAGATCTAGAACAGTGAATGTCGAGCCCTTCCAGAGGATAAGGTGGTTCCAGAGAGGACGGGAGTTTGGGGATGTAGATTGCGGTTAAAATAAGTCGCAGAGTAGACTGGGCTTTTGAGGGGGGTTGATGATGTTCTTAACCGTAGAGATACATAATCCAGCACTTGTAAATCAAGACCATGTCTGACAAAATTCATACTTTGAGAGCAGAGATAATTAAGATTCTGTGATTCTAAGAGAATTGTTTCTATTGATACTGATAAAAGAAGTACAAAAATAAAATGACCTTTACATTCTAACCTATGCCTTCTAAACCAGCAGCAAAAGGGGAGATGTGTTGGCTTTGTTACGTGACCAAAGACCTGACATAAACAGCCTGAGAAGGAAAGGAAGTCTCAGGCCATTGTGGACCAACTCCATTGCTTCTGGGCCCATAGTGAGGCAGAACTGTGACTGTGGGAGTTAGATGCCTGAACCCAGATGCTCATTCTTGGTGCCACAAAGCAGACAGAAGAAGCAAGTACCAGAGAGGCAGGGGCCAGGGACAAAATACAGCCTTCGCAGCCACACCCCCAGTGACCTGCTTCGTCCAGTGAGGTCCTGGCTCCTAATAAGCCCATTAAACCGTGGACAAGCAATGGGTCAATCCGTTGATGAAGTCAGAGCCCTCCTGATCCAGTCACTTTCCCAAAAGCCCATGAGCTGAAAACAAAGCCTTCAACAAAACGACGTTTTGGAGGATATTCTCGTAACAATCATAGCAATAGATATACACTGTGCCTGGTGTGTACGTAGTGAAAATGGTCCCCAGCCACTCACTGGTGGCATTATAAATCAACCCTGTTTTAAAATTT